CACCTGAGGGGTCAGAAGAACCCTTAGGCCTTATCCATTTAAAGAAAGGTTGAGTTATGTTGAGGTGGTTTTCTAGTCGAAACTGTTGAGTAAAACGATGGTTGTTGGGACAAAACCAGTTACGTGGAGTTTGGAATTACATGTTACATGGGTACTGTATTTTTTCAATCGGGCGACCTCGCAAAAGTTTGACTCCCTTGGAAGAAGAAACATATACCAACCCATTGGTGGGGGGGTTCCCTATTAAACTGCAAAACCATATTATGTCCTGCATACTTCGACCCCAGTGAATTCTCTAGGGCCTGGATAAGACATGTTTCGATCTGTCTGGATATCAGCATTCTCCTCCTTTACCAATGCGGCATGCAGGAATGAAGTCAGTATATGTTTTACTGATGAAGTTGAAGTCATGGGAAATTCTCAGGTGCAGGAATTGGTGGAGAAAGATCAGCAATAATGTTGAACTATTGATGAATAACACATCCCGTATGGAAGTAAATGTACTTTACTTCGAGTGATCCCCACCCTGGCGTTTCAAGGCTCTGTTCGAGGGTCCGGTGTCCACTGCACTGTAGTGGTGAGAGTGTGGGTCGGATGGCAATCTACATGGCATACCTTCTGACATTCTTTCTGGCATATAAGCTGGCATCTCTCTCTCTATATATATATCCATACACACATATGTAATATGTGTATATTATGTTGACATACATATGTATATTCTGGCACATATGGTAAACATTTGATCTGCCATCTATGCTTAGATTCAATTTTTGGTTATTGTCATTGTATCATTATATTATCTATTGTGACACTATTCGGCATCTATTGTGCATTCCATCTGAAATACTTTCTGGCAATGCATACTGGCATTCTATCCGGCCCGGCAGGCTTCGCGGAGCCATTTTTGGACCTTCGACCAACCTGGCATCCTGGTGCCCCTCGCGCCCACCGCCTTCCGCTCGCCTCCTGGTCCGCGCGGCGCCTGGATGTCCAACGGACCGCGGCGCCTGGGCAAGTCGGATGTCCCACCGAAGCGACACGAGTCCGGTACCGAGCTGATTTGGGATCTTCCCTGTCCACTGGTCGTTCACTCGCTAAAGCCCTTTGTTTGGGGCATGTGTCAACGAAAGAACGATTTCTTTCGTGGGGTGGTTTTCTGGGAGAAGGTGTGAATGGACATTTGGGGAGGGGTCTGTGACCTTCTTGCGAATCGAAGCTAAAAGTAGGAATCGTCATCGGGCAGAACAATAGTACGATATAGTCCTAAGGTCCTATCAGTATCTCCTAAGGTCAATCACTATAGGAATCGTCTCCTACAGTATAGTCAGAGTATCTCCTAAGGTCCTATCAGTTGCCTATCGGCAGGGTTTACCGCAGCTCACCACGTCCATTTGCCGCCTGGTGCCTACACCCAAAGGTCAGGCTCATAGGAAGGACAGTGAATTGCAGGTGCATGATCCTATCCAAACGCTCCATACATGGGAAATGCACCAACAGAGGTTAAAGAACCCCAGTTCGACTATCCCATAGGTATCCCAGTAGGGTCTTATAAGGTCACTTAACCTCTGTTGGTATGGAATGTATATATTAGGGCCGACTCCTGACACCGGCCCCACGACTCATGGGAGCCATCTTCACAGCCCACCCTCCGTCACAGAACACACCCCATCTAGAGACCAATCTCCATGAAGACACGCCGCTCCAACCATTCGCGTTGGTGACTGCAAGTCGCCCGGTTCCCGAAATCTGCCTTTCCTCCAAATCCATCCAAATCCATGTCCCACACCAATCAACGAAGTACAGCGCACGTCGTTTCCCCCCCCTGCGGCTCCAACTACCCAAGGTGGACCCCAAACACCTTGGTATTTGGAGCCCTTGGAGCGGTCCATCTCCACTCACTTCCCCTGGCCCCATCGCCCCATCCGACTCGCTCACCCCAACGGCGCTGCCCCGCGCCTGATGTCCGGGTCCAGATTGGACAGGGTCGCTCGGCGCGGTCCGGTGGCCGGTCGGTGTGCACTCGACGTCGATGCCGAGTCACTCGTCTGAGCCCGAGATCGGCGGAATAACGGAGAAGTCGGAGGTGGTAAAGAATCAGCGCATCGCCGCGAGAGATGAATTGCATAAAGACACACTAAGTACTGAGTGTATGAACAAATCAGAAACGATATGTGTTTTTTCTTTGCATGTCCCCAAATCATATGTTTGTCCCAAGTGGATCCAGGCCACGACGTTCTGTTCGGTACCGCCCATCTTCTCTCTCGGCCTCTAGAGTCGAACTGATGGGTTACCAGCGACCAGCGGAGGCAAAGCCTGGATGCCCTGGGGCGCCATTTGAGGTCCAACTTCATCGTTTTTCACGAGCCCTGAGACTTGTGAGACTTTCGATCCGTCTGCTTCTGGACGAACCTGGGGGGATGTGGGACCCATGGCATACAGTGGAACCTCGTTCGGTCGTGCCTCCCCCCCAGCCCGCACCTGAAGTCAGAACACACATGTCCGCCAGGAACGGGCGAAGAAGTCATCAGCCTGAAATGTTAATAGAGAATGAGCCATCTTAGATCATCTTAGACTATGTATCAAAACATATCAAACCATCCTCTGTCACTGGGAACTTCTCAAGGGCACAACCAAAACACATTATTCAAACCTATTTCAGCTATCAATCCCAAACGCATGCATACATCAACCACCCCAATGTAGTTCAACATGACTTGCCAGGACCTTCAAAAAGTGACCAAAAAACTTAGATCCCCGGATGTTCGGTCACAAACAGGCCGGTTAAAGGTCACTTCCCTGAAGGTTCTGGTAGGTGGAGTGTCTAGGAATCTTTGGAGTTGTTCCCTTTGAAAACGACCTTTGCCCTAATGTCAAACCCAAACCGTTCGATGGATGTGCACCCCAATCATCAGCCTCAAACACTCAAACAAAGCTGTGGCATTGAGATCTCTAAAATCCGCACCGGAGCGGCGTGTCTCGCCTGTTTTTGACGCCTGTCTCGATTCGAATCCGTTGGTGTTCTCGACTCTACGACTGATATTTCGCTACCAGGGAAGCGCACAGGGTGACGTGATGTTGCACACAGTGACGTGATAGCAGCGTGTGCAACCACCAGATGGAACGTAAGACTGTGCCTCTATCGATGAGGGGCGGCCTTTGAATGTGCCGCCCCGGAGTTCAAGTCAGCTAAAACTTTGTGGTCACTATATACCAGGGGCCCCACAAACCATCAAAAACCTAGTTTTCCCTTGCAAAAAAACATGGTTCATGTATATGAAAACCATTGTGTTTCATGGTTTTGAGGGCCCCTGGTAGTCACTAGATCTCAAGAATGTTTTTTTTGCCGGTCCAGTAGCCGGTCCAGCTCTCCGTCCATCCCCGCTCAAGCACCCTGAAAAAACACAGGTTCCTACAGTTCATTGATTCATTGATCGATTGATTCATTCATTCATGGTTTCCTTCGGAGTCATTCTGAACAGCAATGCTTCCGAGGGGGGCCCTGGTATGTGTTCGTGCAAAACATGGTCGTTCATTTCATTCGGAGCCGTTGGTGCTTTTAGTTACTTTAGCTGTTGCGGAACATTAAGTGATATCGAATGCAACAATCCATGGGACTGGAATACTTACCTGCATTCATCCTCAACACATCTTAAAGCCATCCATCTATGTGGGCAAATATTTCATACAATGGGTTGTTGGGCCGGGGATATGCGAATCAATATATGAATGCATCTTCTTATATATTATGATATCCCTATATGGATCCACTGCCACCGAACCAGGTCGGTACGGTGGCAGTGGATCGATAGGGTTTTGCAGAGATCATATCCTCATCTGTTGGGAACCCCGATACACCCCCAAAAGAAAGATGAGTCGAATGCAAAGCCACGGACTGGGTGGGCCTCCAACCTAAGAGCGATGGCTATATGTATATTATTGCATTCATGCTTCCCTGGCATCCATCCCACTTTCATTGAACTCACAAGGAGAAGATTCGGACGCCGCACGCGCCGTGTGGCGCACGGAAGTACTTAGCTCTGGACGACATGCGCTGGGTACTTAGCTCTCGATAGGGAGAGAAGAGAGTCGGCAGAACAAGCATGAAACTGTATACTATGGATAAACATTATGAAGCCATGAAGGTGAGAATGGCGAGTCTCTCAACGTGAGTTGGCTACTTCTACCATTTACACACCTCATCACACCTCACTGTGCCCGGTATTTTTTTCTCGAAAACACCAATCATCCTCCCCATCGCCGCAGCCGAGCGCGCAGCCGAGCACGCAGCTGGCAGAGCTTTTGCTTGGGACGAGTGGACAGCCTTGCTCACGAGCTTCATTTGTAGACACGGGTCCACGCGTGGGACTTGTTGCCACGGTTGAACGGTTCCAACACCCATCCAACAGTCTTCTTGGGACCCTATAACCGGTGGTTTCTGGGGACCAGGAAGCACCTGTTGGAGGGTCCAGGTACAAGATCCTATGACTTGGGTATATTCCATCTAGACTTGTGGCCAAGTGGATGATGATTGTGATCATTTCAGGCCAAGATCTCTAAAGTAATAGTTGTTGACCGACGGTGAGGTTGACAGGGACACCCCCAACATGACCTATACATGGGGTCAATGCTGGTAGATATTGCATACGAAGTGCTGAAAGAATCCTGTGGGGGGGAGGAACACACGGTGTTCCCGAAGGGGCAAGCAGGAATCGACGGGACCTGTTTACCATTATCATCCATTATACTATATCTACTTCTTCGCCCCCCTTCGTCTCAAGCGACTTAAGACCTCCCGGGTGGAGTGAGATCAAGTAAATTACACTAGTCTAGACTGCTCAAAGGTGTTGACTTGCTTCGACTGTCTGACAAAAGTAGTTCGAGGATTGTGCCCCCAAGGTCTGGCCGTGTCCTTGGTATCTGTGCTATCATCCTTGGCGCGGTCCGTGCAAGCTATGCTTGGTTCTTTGCCCCACTCGCTAGCCGTGGGCGCCGGCCTCTCAGGAGTCTTCTTTCCCCTGTGCGGCCCATGGTTTGGCAGATTGGAATTCACAAAACAAGAAGGAACAAATAGCAACAAGAACTGCAAGCCACGACTACATGTCTTCGCATTCGTTTGGGAGCCATCTCCTAAAGAAACCCCAAAAACCCTGCGCCCATCGGAACTGGTGTCACAACGGACCGCACCAGTCCCTGTGAGTTCTCCCCACCCCTGCGAAGGAAAAGGGACCAAAGCTGATCGGTCCAATCAGTCGGAACAGTCGGAAGAAGTTGATGAAACGCTGATTGGTCAGTCGCATACCAAGGTCCTATCCTTGTGTCGACCACAAAGAAGCCTCCTCCCCCAAAGAAGGGCCGTGTTTTGTATTGCCCTGAACCCTCCCCCAAAAATAGAGGGCTTCGTAGAAGCCGTTCAAATGCAGTCCATGTCGCATCTGTCGAACGACTTTCCCTGAAAAAAAGAATCAGGCCCGGAGGACTCGGAAGACTCCGCGTCGACCCAAAGTCCGAAGAAAGAGACATCTCACTCCGCCGTCGCCGTGATTCTTGGAGTGAAAGGGGGTTTCTCTTGTCCCATGTTCAATGGTGACTCCTTCCCGGAACGGACCATGAGGCTCTCGGATCTGAAGAAGGAGGTTCTTGGATCTGAGGCTTTGGAGTCCTCCGCCCCAAACGTGTTTTTAGTTTAGAGAACCCAAAGTAACCTAGAAATCAACCAAAAGCATTGCTCAACAGGATGGCCTTTGGGATTCCACATGCAACCAACCAGGATGATGGAGGAGCGGGCCGGGCCTTCTCGGCTTCTTCAGCCTGAAGGCGTATGTGCTTGAGGTTGATTGGTTAATTGATGTTACGAGTTACTCATTGGTTGAGAATGCTTCTAAGATGAAGAATGAGAAGTACAAGAGAACAATCAATTAAATTTTCACTCCTACTCAACTAAACATGTTGGAGGCCATTACTCTTAGCTTGGAGGCCATCGCTCTCAGGTTGGAGGCCATTGCGATTAGGATCTATTAGGTATAGACATTTCCTTGTTGTCTGTCAAAGCCCTCATACTCTTTTCTTGTAGCTTTGGGTACAGCTGGGCTTGCTGGGCTTGTTGGGTTTAGATGCCTCATCAGTCTATGTGTCTCCAAACAGAAGGCGATCCAGCTCCGCGGCCGTGGGTCCCGATGTTCAGTCACGAGTCGAAAGAAGAACGGCCCGGGTCCCACGGGTCCCACGGCGAATTTCGTTCAACGCCAGTACCTATGGGATTAACCGAACTAGAATTGATCAAACCCAAAATGCAATGACTTCTTGCAATGCACCGAAAATGCTTTCTGATTGGCATCTCTATACTTCTCTCCTATGGAACTTGCTTCGGAGGACCATCAAATTCGTGGTGTGGCAGCGTCGACATCGTGTCGGCCTCCCAATCAACGAAACGTCTGGTCTGTTGTTGGCCCCTTTCTGGTTCCATTCATGGTGGAAGTACTGTACCATACTGTACCCAAATGATAGTTCTGTATTTTTGGTTCTCAACCAAATGATAGCATCATCCGAAAGAAAGCATACTGTACCCAAGCAAACTTAGGACACACCGATGATCTGGGTCAAAGAACACAACAACTGAACCCCCCCAAAAAAGTCGGTGAACATCTACCTGCCCTCCATCACGGAAAGAAAACAAAACACAGCCCCCCTGATGAGGACCATCTTTGGAAAGTTGTCATGCGTTGTCCACTTCCTGGCTTTGATCTAGGGTAGTTCATCTGCCTTTCAACCCTCCCCCTCGCCTCGTCGGCTTCGGCTTCAGGCTCTTTAGCCTCCGGGCACAACGGATGTCGCCAACTAACACCAGCACCAATCTATCAGCGAGGGTCTCCAACCTAGGTTGGAGGCCCCATCGCTACTAGGTTGGAGGCCATCGCTACTAACAGTGCCCAAATTCGCAGGCTTTCAAGCCGAACCCCCATGTTCCACCTGGATTGGAGTGCGGTGTCCCAAATCCGAAAGAGACCAGGCCGACAGACCTGCAAAACCGAGCAAACGATCGACCAACATGCTTCCGCCTCCGAAATCGTGGCTATTTCAGCTGTCGGCTTTTCCTTTTCCAGTCGTGAACACTCAAAGCTGGTACCTGTTTATACCTTTTTCACTCTCGGCCATGTCCAAAGCAGCCATGAAACCTTCCAGAACCGCCAGTGATGGGAACAAGACCAGAGTCTCAGAGCAAACTGTTTGAGAAGTCCGGGTTTCGATGGACACAATACTAACTCATTCGGCCCATGAGCATCACGGGCATCCAAAAGCCTCTCTTCCATCGACGTCCATGCACTTGTTTGCGCATCTGTGAACACAAGCAGTGCAGCTTCCACTGGCCATCTTTCTTCGGCAGCTTTCCATTTGCTGCCGTTCAAGTCAAAGGATTTGGAGCCATAGAAGGAGCACAAACACCCCAATCTCCACTGGCCAAGTGCAGCACCTCCTCTCCACTGGCCAGCTTGATGGAAACGATTCCAAGACCTCCAAAAGTCGATGAACTCCTCCAGAGGAGCTGGCCATTCGCTGGTCTTATAGCCTATACAGGCATCCAACTAGGGATCCACTGCCACCGTACCTCAGGGTCGGTCTGGACCCTGGACCCTCCAATGAAATACATCAAAAAGTGTCTCCAATCACCTTCTTCTCAGAAAGTATCGGGCAGACCACCGAGAAGTGCGGACCGTCGTTTAGGGACGGATGCAAAGAACGACTCACCGCGGAACCGAAACAGCAGACGTGAAGTTACATGAAGGACTCACTAGTGGAAGTGGATAGCATGTCCCCTTAGATGACGAATCTCCTGCAAAGGGTATACTTAGCTGGGAATGGTGAGGAATACACTTCGGACCAGGAGTTGATCAGTTTCTTCCGTTCGAGGTCAGGTCCCTAAGCTCGCGACCGAACCAAAGCAGGCCTTACATTTTTCAGTCACCGAAGCAATCAGAAGATCAAGTTCGGTCATGAACTGAAGAGCCAGGATAAACATCTAACAATCCACGGGGAGGGTGAGATGTTGTTTGTGTTTGGTGCTTGAAGAACCAGGATATCTTGTGTTTTTACTTAAAAAGTCAGTGGATTCTTGCAATTCCATGGTAACTCGAATCAGGCACTCCCAAAAATGGACAGGGAGTCATGATGTGAGGGTCGGATTCATCATGGCTGCCCATATGAATAGGTTTTACAATCCACCTTGTTGGTATTCAGCTGCCTAAGTATCATGAGCATGATGAAGTTGAACATGACGAGTTAAATGTGAATCCTCGACACCACTTCCCTCGACTTGCTTGGGATTCTGCTATCATCAACTTTCCCTGGAAGTGCAATTTGCTTTGGCCACCTTCTTGCACTTCGAATCCCAATATTTCCCAGTCTGACTGGGATCAATTCGGAGGATTTGTCAATTCCTTGAACTGGAAAGTTGATGCTGGGCTGCTGTTTTCATACACTGAACTTGCTGTCCTGTTTCTTTTCCAGGGTTTTTCATGCGAGGCTTTCTGCAATGAGCATTGCACCTTTCGGGAACTGATCCAATGGTTCAAACTCTTGTGCTCGGCTGCCCGCAAGCAAACCTTGGTTTTCACACCAGGTCAACATGATTCACGTGCCCACCATTCCTGGGGGAAAACCATGCCCTCAGACTGCATTGTCGGTGCGGCACCTTTCGTGAGCAATGACTTTTTGCTTTTTTCTCATTGAGGTGACCCGCAGTGTCACTAAAGCTGGGCTAGATGCTTGGGACTTTTTAGTTTCTGACTTTCGCTGTCCGTAGGACCTTTTCTCTCCATGTCCTTTAATTTGGTGCTTGCCCGCGGGGTGGGCTTCTTTGGTGGCTCTGCAGTGGAACGCTGCTAGCCGTGTCACACTCGACTGTGTGCGCGAGAGGAAGAATAGGTTTTACAATCCTGTTTTGTTTTGTGTTGTGCTTAACCAGTCCACACCCTAGCTCATGGTGCTCTCCAGTTCTTTTTCTGTTTAAAACCTTTTTGTTTACATATTCATCATCCAGTCTACGTTTAGGTCTTGACCGCCATGTCTTTCCGCGCCGCCAGGCGGACTTCTCACTGGACGGTTCTATTCGCACCCCGGCCTCGTCCTTTTTCCCCTCCTCTCCTGGCAAACATGCTGCACTTGTTGGACCTTCCAAAAGTGAGGCCTGTTTACACAGACCTGTTGGTGACCTCAAACTGGGACATCAAGTTCGGGCATCACCTTTGAAGGTCCTGGCTAGGTCATTTCTACACCAACCCAAGAGAGGTTACAAAACGCCCATCTTTGCCATGCGCAATTCCAAACGACAACACAAGTGCGAATCCATTCAGTTGACTAAAAAACATGTGTTTTCAACATGTTGTTTGCTTGCAACATGCTAGACGCTAGACACGTAAGTGCGAGGTCGTCTCACCACTTCCTCACAACGACACCATTTAGATCTGTTTGGTCATTGCTGGTTTGTGAACCTGCATCATTTCGCGGTTTGTGACGGTTCTCTGGTCAAATCTGAAGACAAAGGCTGCGCAATGACTCTTCTTCCATGCGAGAAATCAACCACTGAAATCGTCATCATGTGCCGTCAGGAGCCCATTGCTTATGAAATGGTCTAAACCAACATGTTCATCTGGTAATCGGATCACACTTGCACATGCATATCAAAACGTTCAAAGGAGAACCGGTGAACCGTTTTCCTTAAAACAACCAGAAATTCAGACTCATGTTTTTGAGGGGTTCCTTCATGGCAGTTCCTTTCAAAAACCTGTCTTCTCCAACACATCACCGTTCGCAGTTGGGGAACCGAGTTTCCGCCCTCCTTCGGTCCGTTCCGCCCTCCTTCGGCCCGGCCTTTTCGATTCATGTAGGTATCCAAATCATGGTCCAGGGACTGGCGCTTGGGACGTTGTTCTTCGCTTTGGGGCGGTGAGCCCTATGACCCACAAGGACCCACAGGAACCCACAGGGACCCACAACCACCCACAACGACCCACATGATCACGACCAAAACCCAAACCCAAACCCAAACTCACTGGCGAGGCATGGTGCGAATCCATTTCTTTTTGGAATCCATGTTCTTTGCAACTACATCTGAACGGATTTCCATTTCGGAGCTTTCGAACTTTTCTGACATCATGCAGTTCCAGCGACGCAAACTCACGACATCCGCGGACGGGAGGTATACCCAAACGGAATGGTACATGCCGTTTGCAATAAAAAACATTAGACCAAACGGCCCATGCCTGTCCCAAACGCCAAGCATCCGATCGAAAACCAATATGATGTTCACCCGCTGGTCTGATGGTTGAATTCCACCATGTCCAAACCAACAAGGATCCAACGTCCCTGGCGTCAAACGTGGATCATCAATATTCATCCGCCATGACGCAAGAAGGTCATACAATTGCAGCAAGATACGTCCACTCCCCCGGAGTGGTATTTGATTCCTCCGTTGTTTGTTCATTGACCGTCATGCCAAAACAGTTCCCTGACAAAGAGCAGTTGTCGCCTTTGTTGCTTGTTAGGCTCCCATGAGCCACCATGCAGCCGCCCAGCAGTTGCGTCCATACTGTATATAGGTTCCGGGTCTTGAAGGGCCTCCTGTTTCGAAAACCACACTGCAATACAAATATTTAAACCTTGTAACTTAAATAGGAGCAAAACTCTTCAACAGTGGGATTCCCCCAGCAGGTCGTAGCAAAATACAAGCAATTTAAATGCATATACCACGTAAAGTCCATGCCAACAGAGGCTGCCACAAGAAGCCCTCCGGCTTCCATTGCATCCCTGCACTCGATTCAAGTTGAAACGGTGAAATCCAACACTACCAATGCAAGACCAAATTACAAAGCATTTGCTTTGTAAACAAATTTCAGATTAAGCTGCGGTGTTGAGCCGCAAGCAACGGCTGTGTGTTTCAAATGGGCCCTGATCAAGTCAGGCGCACGCAGCAGCTAGGTGAAAGTCTGGACCAGAATGACCAGAAGAAATGCCACAATGTCTCCCCAAACATCCACCTAGACTTCGACTGTCTGGCAGTTATAAGTGCGCAAACAGTTTGCAGGAACGTAGTGTGGCAAGCTACCTTCGACAGGGAAGCGCGTAGTGGGATCAATGTCTTGTCGCGGGCTTTCCTGCACCAGCTGTCAAACAGGACAATCCATCAACAGCAGTCGCACCACTGCAGGCCCTCGAAAATGCACAGGATGCAACAATCAATGAGGCTTCACCACGCAATACCGCGCGCATCCAATATTTCACTGAGGTGCAAGATGACCTGCAATGCTTCGACAGTGCAGCAGCAGCAGTAGCGAACACGAGCTCGAAAAATATTGTAGTAGTGTCCATACCCGCACTTCTCCAGCTGCGCAGCGCGTCCGCCACAGAACCCGCAAGAAGTAGTCGCTCAAGCGCGGCAAGCTCATCAGCAAAGGCACCGCGCCCGGCACACTCATACACTGATGAACTGGAGGCTTCCGAACATAATGACGGGAATGCCACTCATGCTCAATTTGGTGGAGATGGTTGGCTTACGGAGCGCTACCACATGAATGCTTGGGTGGCACAAAGTGCTTGCAGGGCAAAGAGTGTGGACAAGCACCGGCGCCATACCAGCTCCACCCGATGCAGAGTCACAGGTTCTTGATTCTTATGCTGTCCAGCGATTCCTCAGAACCGTGCGCAGCCAGCGCTTTGCCAACCGTGGGTACAGGATTGATCAGCGCTCCAGGATCAAAGACGCTGTGCCCAAGCAATCCATTGCCAACCTCTTTCGCGATGGTGAGCGACATGGGAAATCCTGGGAAATCCAAATTCTGGTTGCTCTGCATAGCGGCTGGGCAAGTGTTGTTGCTAGGCTTGCAGATGCTGGGCATTGACAGGCAGCATTGACAAGCCAGAAATTCTGATCCATCAATCGTGCTTTTTCGGGACCTATCCTGCAACGCTGCGCGAAAACAGATTGCCACCATCGCCTGGTTCACCCCCGCAGTGTCCAACACGAATCGCATGAAGTCCAAGAAGTCTTTCTGTCCGCCGCGTGATGATGACCGTGGTCAAGATGTCCGCAACGAGGAACTTCCTCAACAAGTAGCGTAGATTCATCAAGCAGTGTAGCATCTGGTTACGAATGCAGCAGCCACAAAGAATGCAGGAATGTCGCCATCCATTAGCCCCAACTGCTGAGGTTGCACCCACGAAAAAGCAAGGCAACGAAGCAGCTGCATCTGTACAGGATGGGGTAACAAATGTTGCATGGCCTTTGAGTAAAAGAGTTGTCTTCGTTCACGGTTGGTAAGTGTGGAAAACATAGTGAGTATGCACTGCACGCTCTTTGACACCTCTTGTCACTCTTGGGCCATCATGCGCTTCAAAACAGACGATGCTCAGGTGAGATGTCTTCACTCCAATGTGAGGTATCTGCGGGAGAGAAAGGTTGGGCGGAAATGATCCCACGCTGCGGGCTGCGTCGCAAACCCATCACATGATAGTGAAATTCAAACTCCAATTCAACGTCTTCCGTGTAACAAAAGACTCGATGCTCTGGAGGAAATGTTGGCGTCACGGATCGATGTTTTTTCCACGAAAACCCTGGAGTCCCCCACCAAAGAAGCCCACCCCGCAAAGCAGGAACTCTATGCGCAAGGCTTTGGCAGTGTTCCACTTTGCTTCAATATCTTCCGTGCTTTCAAAGGCCTGGCAGAAGCATTCCAATAAACGCTGGACTGACCGATTCGAAATATACAGTTTCTGGTGGGGCGACGTCTCAAGGTCTTGCTTTGCACGACTGTTGACTAGGATGGAACCAAGCATTAGAGCATACCAGCTGGCCACAAATGACAGCCCAACTTTCTTGATGCAGCGTTGGTCCAAGACATCATGGACAACGGAGTTGAAACATGTTGAAACTAGGTGGGAGCAGCACGAACACCCCCACCTGGTATGATCTGACTGCAGGAACATGTTTATCTCTGAAAGCGTGCGAGATTTGGCAACCGTGGGGCCGTCTTGCCAGTGCTGCAGTATGCTCCCAGTGACACACTTTCAGTTGTCAAAGGCGCGAAGCAACTACCGACTCTGACGGTCCTGTCACCCAATTTGCGTGGATAATCGGATTATCACTATAGTTCACTATTGGGTTCCCACTATAGATACACCTGGGCCTGGGTCTTGCGAACTCGCAACTATCGAAGGATGACTGCGTGATTTGGTTCGGCCCAGCAGGCGGAAGCACCGACTATATATACATATACTGGAAGGTTCTGGACTATGCACGTTCTGAGGATCGCATGCCAATGAGCTTCGGCGTGGGTGTGAAACCGAGTGAACTGGTCATTCAAAGTGGTTGGAAAGCGCTTGCCAGAGCAGTTTGCGGCCTTGTGATGGGCATGTTGCGTGTTATGCGGAAGAGAGAGGTACCAAGCTTCCCGCACCAGTTTCATGTTTGGCGCTCATGGTTGTGAAACCACTCTATAGAAAAAGGGCTACAAGGGGTTCAAGGGGTATATATATTCTCAACAGTGTTGGCTCTTCATCTGGATTCAGCCCGTGACTTGCAAAGGATGGGATCAGGAAGTCAGGAAGTCAACTAATCAGTGCGCCATTGGCAAATCAAAACGAAGCAGCTGCAGCTTTATACAGCTTCTGTTGTGGGTACTAGGAAAGAATTTAGCTCTTGAATTAGGTTCTTCTGTGATTCCTGAGTTTCATGGTACCCTTGGTTCACAGGGGGACACAGTGAAAGAGCTTGTTTATTATCCAGAACCCCACAGTGTTGCGCCCTTGCTGGTTTTTTCTTCTCGGTCCTTCTCCTCCTCCTCCGTCTCCTCACACGCTTACTGTACCTTACTCACAAACACCAACAACTCACTCACACCAACATACTCACATGAAGTCACTCACACCAACTTACAGTACTCACACAATTTACATGCACCAGCTTACTCACATCAACTCACTCACACCAACTTACTGACACTTACCGCACCTGTCTGCTGCTCCCTAAGGGTCTGCTGTTGCTGCGGGTCCGCGCTGGTTCCCCTTGGTCGCCGTCCACTGCAATCGGCGCTGGTTCCATGTGGTCGCCGCCGCTCCTCCACCCCCTTCGTCGCCACGGCTGCTCTTCTGGGGGGGTCTGCTGTTGCTGCGGGCCGGGCTTCCACGTTAGTCACGTTAGTCTCCTCCTCCTCCTCCTCTTCCTCCTCCTCCTTCAAATCACGCACACACACACATCAACTCAGTCACACCAACTGACCCACACCCACTCACTCACAGCTCAAATCACACAAGCCCAAGAAGTTGATACCAGCCTTCCGAACATGTTTTGGGAGATTGACATTGTTGGCGTAACGGGTGCTGCTTAACGCAAGGCCAACATCACACACTTAGAAAAGAGCTTGAAAGAGCACAGACGGGTGCTCATCAGATCTGCAATTAGACCTTCGCAGTTGCTGCAATAGACCTTGGCGGACAATCGGAAGGCGAGAAGTCCGAAAGTAGCAGAATGGGTTTAACATGGGTAAAACAAGAATTGCGGTGAAACAAAGAATTGGAACAGCTTGATACCACACCATTGGCGGGTACGTGGCGGTGATCAGCCATGATATCCGCATGCACTGTGGCTACTTCATGGGACCATGGCTCACAGTACATGGATGGCTCCAGTGCAGGCTTTACATGGATTTATGTTGTCCCTTTGGAACAGGCTTCGACACCCAAACACAAACACATCCATCCTTTCCCACTACTCCATCCCAATCGGTCTCACACGAAAGCTTGACATGTGGCATCCTCCGTGTTCCGTCTTCAAGCTCAGCTCCAAGGTCCAACGGTTCTTTTGTCGGATGACGCTTTGAAGCCCGGAAGGCACATATGACGTGCGGGCTTGCAGTGCTCACGCTGTGCATGGCATGTCGCGAGCTCGCAAAGCCTGGAAGACATTTCAAGGTGCCAGCCACTTGGAAGGGGGTCAGGCGTGGTCGACCAATAGGCCTTCCAGTCGTCTGACGGACTCCCAAACCGTGGGAGATCCGAGCCAGGAAGGGGAAGAGTTCCACCTGAAAGCTGCAGTACGGTGCTGGATAGCCCAGTCGGCAAGAAAAAACTGGATGCTTGATTAGAGTCCTAAATGATGGATGCAGCCTCCAAATTTGCCTACTTCGATGAAATTCTGATCAAATGTTCAGGGTTTGCACGGTGCTGGGTGAGTGGGTCTGCAAGGCAGTACTCACTTGTAACATTATCCAAGGTCATGCAATTGTCCTGTGTTGCTTTCATGATGCAGCATTTGTATTGAATGGTGGCATGGGATGCCGAAGACTTACCAGCTTGCACTTGCACACGGGAAAAAGCATACCTTTCCTGTGGCGGCAGAACTGGGCTTATTCGAGTGATAGGCGCTCCTTCCTGTCACCCTTTGTAGGATTCCACATCTGTCTGGAAGCACATGCTGTCCTGTTGAATCAAGGATCGTCTTTCCTTCTGTTCAGGAAGGTGTGTTGTCTGTGCTGTTGTCACAAGATCGTTGGCATCTGTCTTGAGATGTATTGGCAATATGTCTCCACTGCAGTTGGCCCAAAGACCTCGCAACAAGCAAGTTCCACAGCATGGCTATGCAAAAAAAGTTCTGCAACTCTAGTGGATCGTGTTGTTGTTGTAATCCCCACGTGCTCTATCTATCTGATTCTGAACATGTGTTTTCAATCTGTGAATTCCTTATCTTCCTTCGTCCGGTCCCCTTGGTAGTTCACGGGTTCGTGTGTATCGCAGCGTGGTCGCAGCGCCCGGCTGGACTGCCTCGGTTTCCGACTTCCGACTTCCACCTCGTTTCCGCAACACGTCCTTCCACCAAAGCAATCTGCTGGAACATCGAAGACAATGCCAATGACTCCGACCTCCAAAACCTCTGAAACGGACCACAAGGTCTTCGCTCCCGGAACACCATTCATGTGGCACAAGGTGGCCGACTTGGCCGACATAGGCGAAGCAAGCAGAAGAGAAATGCTCCAAAGCACGATTTCGCATTCATCAGGTGAGTGGTGTTTTTTTGGGGTGCTTGGAAGTATACACTCCGCAGCATGTATACGCGAGCGCCTACGCGACATATCAAAAGTATGTGAGGTAGCCTACGCGAGCATGTTCCAGATCGAGGGTTTTGTTGAGGTACCTACGCGGTCGACTACGCGAGGCCTTTTTTGCACGCTGCCTTCACGGAGCAAATGCAGATGAAGAAGATGAGGATGCAGAAGAAGACGAGCTTGAAGATGAAGACAGCAAAGCCTGTGCCTGTCGGTCAGTCTGTCCTCGGCTTTTTTCAGCAAAGTCTCAATGTCCCCGGCAGGGGCAACAGGCTGATGAGGCTGAATGTGCTTCTGGGCCATATGTCGTCGTACGAGTTCATTGACATCGCCAGGCTCTGGCCCAGGAGGTTGAGGGATGTTCGCCAAGGAAATGTTGTTCGGCCTACACGGCTTTCCCGAGCAGCAGACTTTGGTTCAGTTGAGGTTGCGTGCTTGTACTCCTTTCTCCCTATGTTGTACCCAAAGCTATTCAAGGTCTTCAAAGCTATGCAGGAGCTCACTGTGGCGCAATCCATTTCTTGAACGCTGACCTTGGGGAGATGTAGTTGGCTATTGTGGGTAGCGTACTTCTCCCGGAGCTGACCTAGAGAGCGAAGTAGGGTCTCAGCCTGACTGGTGGTGAATTCGACCTGGTTAAAGACAAGGTTGCGTAGTGTCTGCCCCGTCTTCTTTTGAATGACCTGCCCAACAAGCTGGAGGAAAGAAGCAGCCGCATCAAGGGAAGCGGTTTTCTCCATGATGGTGTCTGCAAGCGACAGAGCGAGTTCTTTGCGGTACTTGGGCGTGAAGCCGTCCCATGTTTTCACGGCGCGGCTCAAAGAGACAGACACGAAAAATGACGACTACATGCTTGCTTAAACGGCTCACATTATAGGTTACAAGCATGAAAAACAGAAGTGGGCCAACCCCTTCCAAACCAAGCCGCAGCCTACGCGAGCATCTACGCAAGGCATACGCGAAGCATACGCGGGGTTTGCCTGCATCTCGTCACACGTTTCTACAGTTGTACCGGTACTGTACACACATGCACATATGTGAATGACCATGGAAATTAGGCTCAGAAAGCTGACTGTACCGGTTTGTTCAAAAGTTGACAAACTCAAAGAAAACCATGTCACAGCCCATCTCGATGGGCGCGCAATACATTTTCCTCAGCAAACCCCTGTTGTCGAAATCCCTCACACAGTGTTCGCACTGTGATCCCCAAGAAGCATACAGCAACAAGGTCACTCATATCCCTCAAGATCTACTTCCTCAAACTTCAAGTACCAGCCACCAAGCAAGTCAACTAAAGGATGAATATCGGTCCATTGTTCTTTCCGTGTTACAGGTTATTAGATTTACTCCAAGTTACAACTACGCAAATCTGCCTACGCGAGGCACTACTATGTTTTCCTACGCGGTTGCCTACGCAAGCTTACGCCCCCAAGCAGAATAGCCTACGCAGCATCATGAGTAGTTCCACTTTTGTATAAACTCTTTCATAGACAAAAAAACCGCTGCTCAGGTGATGATGGGTCAAAACATGTCAAACCTCAACACTCCTACAGTAGCTGGTAGATCATTTCTAGAATGCAAAAAACTTGACATGTTTTCTCCCACACGTCGCAGTTCGACGAACTGAACGCGTCCGACGACCTCCTCAGCCACGCCGACCTGCCTTGGTTCCCCCGTCGCCCTGGCAGGCACGAAACGTGCTTCCGGTCGTGGGTCGCTGAGTTCAGGCCTTTCCCGGTCCAAGAGGGATTGGTTCGGGTCCAAGCCCCAAAAGCAACAGAGGTTGAAGGACCTGAACTAGACTATCCCACTATAGGTACCCCAGTCAGGTCCTAGTTCAGGTCACTTAACCTCTCTTGGGAGGATTCGGGGTACGGCCCATCCGGTGACTTCCACGCGAAGTCGACGTGTTCTTTCTCACGCAGTCGCACCATGTGCACCAGGTCTTGCGAGCCATTGGAATGGGAGCCATTTGGTCACTGAAAACATGTACAAACCAAAACACGATCCTCCCCGCCTTCTATGCGAATCTATGCGATATATGCTCGTCATGAGTCCTAATGCTGATGTGCGCTCTTGTCATAGTGACTTGTCATTGCAGTTGCCGTCAGTTGCCGGCTTTGCGGGTTTGTCAGTACTGTTGTCATTGCAGGTTGTCAGGCCTCTCTCATTCCTCATGCTATGTGTGGCGTATCCGTCGTTGCTGTCACCAAACACTGGCGACTTCGTGATAGCTGTCTTCCTTGCGACTTGCCACAATGTATAGGTGCTTGCCGTCAACACGACACCTTGTCTTTAACTGTTGTCGTTGCGGCCGTGGTTTCCTGCTTGTTCCTGTCGCTGTTGCCAGAGTGGATCGTGGATCGTCTTGGCACACTGATGTTGTCAGTATATGTTTGTCTTGATGCTGCATATTGCCATCCGGGCTTGTCATCTATGAGGTTGCAGCTTGCAAATTGCTGTTGTCTGTGTGATCTTAATTGCTTCCCTCTATAAGCATCGAAGAGCGTGTGGTCCGTGGTCAATACTCGAATTGATCCTGGCGCATTTTTGCAGTTTAGAAACCATTGACTAGAAAAAGGCTATGTATACCATGCAGCACCTCCAACAGGTCACCAATTGAAACCTAGCTTTTGGGGCCCTTCCCAAACCTCCATTTCGGAGACCTGTTGGGTTCGGTGCTGGTATGCATCATATGCTACAAAAATGGGCACATTCATCAGTCAAGCCATGTGCCTGTTCATTCCCTAGGGGTTCCAGTACCGAACCGGTACCGACGACTGGACCCGGTCGGTCCAGACCGTGTCAACGGGTGGATCCGCGGCTTGGCCGGACCGGACTCGACTCCGGAAACCCCCGATGGCTTGGGCGGAAGAAGGAAAAGCAAAAGGAAAGAAGATGAAAGAAGGTATGAATTTATATATTATAGCCCAGTGAGTCCTGGGAACATATAGGACTTGCTGGGTAGTGTTTCATATAATGTTTAATATAGTGTTTCATATTGTCTAATATTGCTTCTGTTTATGTTTGCATTCCAAAGGGAAAGTTTTTCTGTGTGTTTTTTGTTGTCCAAGAGGCCCTGGAAGAGGGAATTTTAAGGTTGATCTTTGCTCCTGTCCATCTGTAGACGCGGCCATTAACTAGATCTAGTTCATGACCGCTTCATAGGAAGCTGATAGGAGAAGCCTGGGTCATTAGCCAACTTCTTTTCCCCTGACAGTTGGTGCTCTTGAGGTCCAATTTACTCCATTACACCCGCCTCTTTCAGGTCCCACAGGTCTACTACTCCCGCTCCCACCAAACCCGGCTCCAGCTCCCACCGACTCGCGTCTCTCCGGCTGCCGCCTCGGTCGAGCGTCCGAAGTACTTCTCCAGATCGGCGTCGAGGTCCTCCTGGGCGTCGACGGACGCGTCGACGCATCGCGTCGAGGCGATGCGTCCGCGCGGACGCGGCAGCGCGGGACGCGTCGGACGGGGGCGCCGAGGTGAGGACGCATAGCGATGACGAGACACGCAGAGAGATGATCAATGGCGGAATGGGAGGGGTTGGTATGATGGGAGGAGCCGTGTCCTCACACCACTAAACCAGCCAGGCTGCTTTGAAGACCTGGCCTTTGTAAGGATGCTGGAGACTGGCACATTGAAGAAATGGATTTGAATAGGGCTTGCCCCATCACCAATGGGTGACTGAACCAGGACCAGAACCAGTGAACCTTCCAGAATGTCCTACAGGATTCACCTGTTTCTTTCAACACGTTTCGATTGAGAACTGTTTCGATTGATGGGATTCCTACGGCCACCAAGTGGCCTTGACCAATTCCATTCCGGTCAAGAACGCCATTCAGTCCTGGTGGAAAGACTGAAAAGGTGACCGTTCGATTTACAAGAGAGACGATTCATGAGAGTATTCCTTTCATAGTAACCCTAGGGATCCAAGCACCTTCTCAGGTTCGGTACGACTGGACCCGAACATAGCACCCACATCACAGCGTCTCCCTGCTCACTAAACCTGAGAAGGTTCGACTGGATACCTATAGATCCTATAGTGACCTTGATCACTAAGGCCATAGGAGGCCACCAAAAGATGTGCTAAATATGTGATATATATATATATATGTGTCTGTTCCGTGTGCCAAAACAAAACAGGAGCTCCGGTCGGGCCAGTCGAAACGATCCAACGACGAGGGTCGAAAAGGAAACGCATGGGGATCGGCTTCTTCGAGACGCCGATCCGGGGCCCTCCAAACCCACTGGAAAGACGGAGAGCCTGCAGAAAGCAACACAAAACAGGCCAGCACCACCCAGTTCGGATGGTTTATAACGTCCCCTGTTACGATGTATTCTTCTATCTACGGTGGATAGAAACCAGTGAGGTGTCTCCTGGTGAAGGAACCATCCAAGTTCCCACCGTTTCGATCCCATCGGCTTGCGTCAACATGAACCGTCGATGTTTCTACCAGGCAACGTGTCTCAATCAAGTTTCCCTTAAGTTCACTGGCAAGAAATGGAGCCTAATGAAGTTCACTTGCTGGCGGTCACCCAAGAAACTATGACAGGGTTTCCTTTCCCGTGAAGATCAATAAACCATTTGAGTGTTGGAACATGGAGACGCCATGTTCAGGTGACAAACAGAACGGAACATGCCACCGCTGGATCCGCTCGATCGATCTCACCAACTTGGATTGCTGGTTTAACATCCACCAACGAGCCATCACCAGTCATGGAGGCCCATGGAATCCCTGAGAACTTCAGTGATCCCGGGTTCCGGGTGGACTGGCTGAGGGTGATCTTGAAGATCCTTTCTCAAAAATCCTCGGGACTGGACGGTCACATCTACTTTTACCATCTTTTACCGAACATGATCCAAGTGACTAGTGTAGATTCTTTATATATATATATATATACGTATATATATATATATATTCATATCCACAACTCATTTGGATTGGAACAAAAACCACACATCTTCATTCATATATGCCAGCACCGAACCCAACAGGTCTCCGATGGCTGGAGCTTTGGGAAGGGCCCCTAACAGGTCAGTTTTCAATTGGTGACCTGTTGGACCAGTTGGCCGGTGCTGGTATGGTTCATCTGTGGGCTTGGACGTTGGAATCCAGCCTCATGGAGTCTACGGCCCGGGTCATATCCGGGCGGTCCGCCGGGACAGTCGGGGCGGTCCGCCGCGCCTTGGTCTTGTAGGGCTCACGGTCTCGCCGCCGGCCACCCTGGTGGAGTGGAGTTCAGTTGGGGGATGATGAAAGGTCCACTCTCTAAGCAGTCGAACCCGGTGAAGTCTCAAAAACGCCAGACTTGGCTATCCATCTTGGTCCACTAAGGGTACCCTAAACCAAAAGGACTAAGTCCAACTGACGACAGTCAACGCCAACGAGGAGGAGGCCGATCGCTCTGGTTCAACCGCCCCTCCCCTCGCCGACGCCTGACCCCAAGAGCCACCATTGTTGTCCTGCAACGCTCGGACGCCGGCAGTCTACATGCCAGAGGTTGAAGGACCTTATAGACTATCCCAGTTCGGTACCCCAGTAAGGTCCTAGTTCAGGTCACTTAACCTCTCTTGGTGCGGCACCTAACTATGTGATCGAATGGAAAAGACAAAGTACAAAAAGCGGCTCAATGCTTAAGTGGTGGTTTATTGCTGCCCCACCGAAGGTAGACCGGCAGGTCGTGCCGATTGGACCACCCCACCGGCCGTGTTCCACGTGCGACCCTCAGCCAGAATCGCACAGAAATCCGGAAGGCTTCGGTGGACGCCGTTGAGGTCGGGTCGCCACACAAAATGATCCAAAAAATATGAATCAATCACCATCCCTTGTGGCTCAGCCCACTCAGTAGTGCTACCAGAATTCTACCGATCCACCTCTATCTTGAAGCAGACCCTTCTGCTCGCAACTTCGTTTGGGCACTTGGAGCCTGGGAACCCAAGGGGTGAGCCCTTCACACATGAAAACCTTATGGCAACTCCCCCAAACCATGATCCCACCAGTGCACGCACGTCCCAACCACGACCGCGCCTTCCAGTCATCGGTCCTGGACCTGACGGATGGACCGGATGGACGGAGTGGACTGGTTTCGTGTAGAGAGATAGCCTGGAAGTCGAGTCGAGTCGACCATAACATGGCGAAGGATCTTCATGGGATGTTTTGGGGTGAAACGCCTTAGTGAAATGGTTGTTCGGGATGATGATTAGGCTATTAAAGCAAGGGGTGCTTCGATTTTCTAGGGTATATAGAGATGGATGGAGTACCAGCACCACCCCCCTGAAGATGACATGTCCATCTAATAACCACCCGAAATGGGTGGTGCTGGTATATATTGCCTGGTTTGATTGATTTTGGCTCCCATGCTGTAGAGTACTTTGGAGGGTCCAGGTACTTCTGATTCATCTGGTGAGTTCCCCAATGTTGTTAAAGATGTGAGTCTTTTTTACAGGGGCTTCTGGATCCCGCTTTGTCAGTGGCTTGATTCAGGTTGATAGGGTTCAGCAGTCAAATGCACATTCTTTATTCCATACCAGAACCCGACTCAACAGGTTACCACCTACCACTTTGAGGTCTCCCTTTCAGTCACCATGTCGGAGACCTATCCAGTCGGGTGCTAATACCTGCAGTCGACCTGTTCGTACAGTCCACCTGTTCGTACCACGGGTCGAACGTGTATACAAGTGTATAATTAGGCACAAACACCTGTTTTAAGAGTGTCATGTCATGTCCCATTGTCGGTATTTGGAAGGGTCGGTATAGAAGTACCTGTTCTTTTTGTTCGGGTCATGTCGTATTTTCTATTGTATGAACGAAGTAGGTCTTGACACCTGATCACCTCGTCGTTTTCAGGCTTCCAGAATGCGGTCCACCGCTGGGTCCCCCCAAATGGACCTGGCCAGGTCCGGTCCGGCACGGTGTCTCAGTTGAAGCACTCTCTCTGCTCTCTCTGCACTGACATCTCGATGTCTGGAGTCTTCTCATTCACATGAAGAGCACAGATGTCTGGCCCTGAACCACACCTCCACCAACCACGCCGATTTCGCTCATCGACAAATCATGCCTCTTGGTGTTTGACCAATAAGCCCCTGGCGGGAGCAAGAGAGAGGATGAGGCAAGTGGGGCCATGAGAAGAACACTTTGGTTGCGTTCATGGAGAAGGTCATAGAAGGACACTTGACGTTTTTTCTTGACTGTCGGCCAGTTGGCCAAACATTCCAACCCAGCTCGATTTTGAAGATAAGTACTGTAGAAGAAAGCCACCAATTGGGAGTCCGAACAAAAAAACGTCTCATGTGGATGATCAAGTTCCTGATAGTGAAGGAATACCAAGAGCCTCTTCCGATAGCAAATGGATCTTCTTCCCCCAACATCCCACCCGATTTCTCGGAGACTGGTTAACACCTTCGACACGATCAAAGTGCCAGGTGATGATGGATCATCATGGATCCATGGACACTGCCAGGTTACTTAGCGATGCTTCTTCAAATGCTAAGATATGCTAAGCAACCAGAGCGTCCGCATCCAGCATCCAACTCGAGGCGTTCTGGTCCAGCCAAGCATGTGTGGGAACACCAATCGGCACTCGAGGCGTTGCGGTTGATCAAGAGCAGGTGAACTGGAAAGCAACAGGTGTTCTTGAAGATTCTTGTCATGTTGAGAGTCTCGAGACACTCAGATGCTACAAACCTGAACGTTTGGACATGCCGACCTTGCATAGCTGACATCTGAACACCCTTTGAAGTCAGAATCCCCCAAAAGCACCTGCACATCTAAGCAACTATAGCTTGGCCTCGGCGAAGCGTCACTAAGGACTCTCTCGCTTGGCCTCCCCCCCCAGTCCCCGGCCGGTTCTGCGGCCTTTGTTGCTATAGCCCGAATCCTTTCGGCGAGAATCAGACCGAAGACGAAGCCCGACAGGACCCGGTCGGGACCCGGTTTCCCGTGCAACGGACCGGTTTCCCGAACGGGATCGGTACGGATGGAAGGATTCACCCGTGGCATCGGATGCCAAAGAGAGTGAACTGGCGTCGGATCGGGTCCGTCTGGTCTGTGGCTCTTCGGATCCGTCTGGTCTTCAGTCGAACATCGCTGAAGCCCATGGCTTTGGGTCCTACCCAGCCATGGTTTGGGTCTGAGCTTTTGTGGTGCATTTTGGTGTCCCAGTTGCATTCTGGTCCTAGAAGTTTTGGTCGGCACGGCAGGGCAGTCAAAGCAACAGGCCGCGGCTTGACTCTTGAACACTTTTTGGGGAAGACTTGACTTTGAAGACGGGGTGGTTGCTTGGGGCTATACAGCTTGGAGGAAAATACTTGGCATAGCAATCAGTCTACAGGTAACCCACCTCTGATGAAGCGGAACCCCCTTTAAGGTGTAAGTCAGGTTTGTAGAAATCTGTACATACAAACCAGAAGCCTGGAGCCCTAAAAGTCTAAGAATTGTTCAAAACCAAATTCAAAATCAAAACATCACTATTATTCTATGTTCAATGTATTAATAATAATGGCATTCTTGCATCCAGTGCGAACCCCAACAAAAAAAAAACTCTCTGTGCGTTGTCTCTTCTCTTCTCTTCTCTTCTCTCTCCCTCCCTCTATCCTTCATTTCCAGTCCTTCCACGAGTCGTCGTTCCATGACCGTTTGTTTCCTCAGCGACACGCCCCACGGCGCAAGCGCGCCCGCCGGTCACCGGTCGTTGGGCTTGGTAACTGGTCCAGAGCTCTATAAACTAGCTACGTTCGTAGCTTCTAGCTTCTATAGCTACGTTTGTAGCTTCTTGTTACTTTGGTCAGGATGTTTAGATCTTGCAAACGTGTGGTACAACTACACTCTGACGAACATGCTCACATGGAAATGGATGGGGGGTGGAAGAGCCTTAAACAGCTGGTGCCATCTTATCTTCCATGTGAGCGTGTTCGCAGGAGTGGCGTATCCAACTTGAATATGACTTTCTGATCCCATTTTTGGATTTGGATCCATGGTTCATCAGAATCCTTGGGAATGTCGCAGAACCGGGTTGTCAACGGCACCTCAGAGCATTCGATTCAAGTACTTTCTGAAGAAAAGGGTCTAAATAGGGCGGCAACCGCCCATGGTTTGGCGACCTGGCCGTCTTAGTTAAAGTCGTGGAACTTGAGAATTGGCCGGAACCACATGAAATTCAGCCATACAAGCCCGATAGGAACACTCTGGATCCAGGATTTTCTGATCAACCATCTAGTTTTCGGATTGCTGAAAGGATGTGCTTTTGGGATGCCTTGATCAACGCCACCAACCGTTGAACGATCTGGGCTGCCGCAACCCCAGCTCATCACCGATCTATACCTCCGGACCGAACGAGATGCATACGCTGCATGGAAACCGTGTGTGGTGTGTATCGATTAGAGGAGACGAGAAGAAGAGTTTCTATCGGCCTTTGATTTGGTTCTACTAATATTTAAACGACTCTACACACTGTCCTTTGTACCAGTGTTGTTTGTATAGATATAGTATATAGTTATGTTTGCAGATGTTTGCAGGGTTCTCTTCTCTTCTGTTTTTTCTTCTCTCTCGTGGCGTTTCAGCACATGCTTCAAGCTCTACCGTTTGTGCTGGACCGCAGGATCGCAGGATCACCGCACGCGCTGCTCAGAAGCCTCGAGTCCGGTCAAGTACAGGCACGGCACGACTCAGAATCGCTTTCAAAGAACACATTTCTCAACATTCCCCTCAAAATCGAACTTCAAGTCTAGCAGCACAACTTTAGAACAGGTCGCCCAAGAGGCAATGATCTCACTGTTGCTCCAAGAGGCAACCCTTTTAGCCAACCCAAACCCTCACCCATTCTCACCCACTCCTCGCCTCGCCGGGAACGCGTCCGCGGCGAGGACTTCTTCGCTCCGCGGCGGGGGACGTTCGATCCGCTCTACCGGACGAGTCAAGCGACGTGCGCGAGCGAGGACAGCGAGTCGCGTGAACGGTGCGGTGTGGTGTTCCCCAAAACTACTATACATACTATGGTACAGGCCAGCTTTGGGTGATGATGGGTGTTTTTTAAAAATCAGACCCCCAACCCAAGGGCTTGGGTCTATTGCCCTTCTTCCAGTGGGTCGAACTGGCAGGTCTACGGATATATTTAGAGCACAAACACACCCGTAGTGTAGCATAGAGTCATTGACGCCAGAGATGTCTTGGGCTCCATGATCGATTCACTTCCACCCTCCAAATACTATAGTGATTCAATCGCATGATGGAACGAATAATGGTGGACACGGGTGGAAATCCAATGATTCTCCACCATGCCTTCACCATTCTGAGGAGAAGCAACACACACTTTGCAAAAATCTCTAAGTGTGGAACCCCAAGTTCCGGAACAGCCACATGAGAAAACACACATGTCGAAAACAAATGGAAAAAAGAAGACACTACATGAAACAACATGATACATGAAACAAATATCGACCTTCACATGTGTTTGTTGAAACAAAATATCGACCGTCCACCTTCCACCAGTCCAAGGTGTTCACAGCACGCGCCCTGCCCGCGTTGTGCAGTCTTTTTTTTCGGCAGCACTCGCTAGTTCTTCTTCCCCAAGGCATCCTTCACAGCAGTACCGACCTGAGGATGGGATATGGGCGGATGAGGAGGTGTACAGTGCTGGCCCAAGGGTGGCTCTGTATAAAAGTACATGACAGGATGAACGTGTGACTAGCTAGGGAACATCATGTATAATTTTCTGAACTTCCTTTACTTCACTCAAAAACTACAATGTCAAAATGTTCGTCGAATGGTGGGAGACGGTGCACAACAATGACCCTTTCTGGATCATAGAATGATCATAGTACCCACAAAAATGAAGATCTGATGGTCCTGGTTCCTGGTTCTGGAGATCATCCTGGCACCTGGATGCACCTGGTTACCCAATGAACGTCACTGGTTCTTCTGGTCCTTCACCCTGGCTTTCCGGGCGCTCCCGGCAGTGCCCGGGCGACCGGTCGTTTGCGGATGTGTTTCGGAATCAATCCCTACAGATCAGTGAACAGTCCTCATCAGTCCAGAGTTCTGGAGGCTTCGATGGGCCTGAAGGTAGTACCTTTGTTTGTCATGAGCTATTTGGTGCCTGTAGCCTCAAATGAAGGAAAGCATGGGCAACTGGAGCCAAGGGATTGATTTGGTGAAAGCCAACAGTCCATGGGAAGAGTTCACAAAGGTATCATGGCTGGTATTTCGAAACGAATCACCAGCCTTGCTGGATGGTATATATATATAATATAGTATCCTCCAGTTGGATCATTGAACGCCCAGCTCCACCGGTCTCCCGCCCAGCTCCACCGGTCTAGCTCCCCGGCCGTCTCGACTGCTCCACTGGTGAGCTCCACGATGGTGAAGGTCCTGCCGGTGGCGGCCGGAGTGAACGGCGGCTGCATTCGACGCCGTGGGTCAGAACACCATGACCAGGGGCGAAGTAGAGAGGGGAAGAGGGCAAGAAGAAGAAGAAGGCCCTGCTTGTTTTAGGTGTTGGATGAAGTGATTGATAATAACATCCTTTTTTCCGAGAAATCAGCCGGTTTCAGTCTGTAGGTCTGTCATTGTAATTCTACCGCTCTACCCATTCTGCTTGAGGATCTGACTACACCTTTGATACCAGAGTTGTCAATGAACACGCAGTAACTAGTCTGCTCTTGGTCGACACCAAGGATTCTTATAGCAGTTTCCTAGCAAAAACCACTCCTATATGCTCCTATAGATCATCAAAACTCCTTAAAGAAGCATCACAAAGCGCCCATGAACACAAAACCTTCGAAAGAAATCTTACCTTTCACCTCGGCCCACCCATGAGAAAAACATCAGCAGCATATTTGCACAGGAAGATCACAAGTCTTATCTTTTCTTCATCACCTTTTCATCCCTTCATCCCTCTACATCACCCCAGAAGGAGTCCATGAGAAACGGGCCCCCGATACAGAACCAAAACCCCTTCAGCGCTGCGGACGCGCGACACGCTCGCGTCGGCGAGGAGCGAGAAGGAAACAGCGTCGCACGAGACGAGACGAGACGGACGCGCGACGCGTCGCACGAGACGGTCCCGCCCAAGATGGCCATGAGGGAGGTGAGGAATTCGTACCATCGCTTGGACTTTTCCTGGGTCCCAGAAGAGTCCCAGGCATTTGGCACCGAAGAGAAGGGGCGAAGTTGGTGTCAGTTGGTGTCGCATGGGCGGCAGAAAGTTTGGAAGTTTCGGTGAAGATGACTGTCCATCAAACTGATATGACAGCAGGATTGCTGACATTCGTCGACGATTACCGAGTCATTGAGTATAATTAGATGGCAGCCAACCCAGCGAGGTCCATCAAATCAAGTGGCTACGAACAAGCTAGCTGGGCAAAATGCGCAAAGTTGCTGCCCCTCATCTGATCTACCATTCCACAGTTCAGTGATGCCGACCTTTTGCCCCTCTGCAATCTATGAGCTATATTGACTATAGTTGAGAAACTCTCTGTATCACCTTGGTTCCCTCTTTGTGGAAGATATAGGAAGACATGATGCCCTCAGCTTCAATTTCTTCAGTTAGCAAGGAGGGTGAATAGCAGACCGTCGTATAGAGTCTCAAATCCCCCAACACCTTGTTGAGAGGGTCTTCCTTTGGTTCTTATCCCGACACCTCCAGTCGTACCTCCTCAAAAGGTATGACTGGACCCTCCTGGCACCCGGGCCCCCAGTCCCACCTTCGAAACGAAGGTACGACTGGAGGCCAAACGGGTATACTTGTTTGCTTCATTTCTTTAAGAGTTATTCTCGAAGAATCCATGCAATGAACGAACATGCAATGAACCCCCAAAACGGCCCCCTAAAGTGCGCGGTGGTACTATCTACTTCAAACTCATTCATTATAGCCTCTTCACCCAAGGGGATCCTGGTGTCTTCATGCAAGGGATTTGCAACTACAAGCTGCGCAACAAGTTAAAACTCCCCCAGCCTTCACCACCACGCTCATTGGCGAAAAATCGTAGCTGAAGCGCGCCTGGGATGAAGTCGGAAAAAGGAGTTCGACCCAGTCGTCTGCCCGAAGAATCAATGTTGCAAACATATGCAAAAATTGAAGCTGCACTTCAGGAAGTGAACACCCGATTCATATGGAGCCAGCCACCCTCGTTCCCTGCGCCAGTCAGTTTCACCGACTGCGGTGCGCTTTCAAGGACCAGGTTTCCCGGGTTCAATTCTGCGAAAGCAGGTTGGAGGCCATCGCAAGAAAGGCCAGAGGCTTCCAACCCAATAGCGATGGCCTCCAACATCTCTTCACCCTGCTTAAGATCCTTAGCAGGCTTCGTTGGAAGGATTGCTGGGCACCACTTCAGACCCTCTCTCCGCGGCTCTCCACCCGCACCCGCGGCTCTCTCCGACTCGTCTCCGCGGAGTCCGCGCCTGCGTTGCCTTCTCGCTGTTCTTTTCCAGCTTCCGCACTCGATCGCTGTGTGTCATCTGGTAAAAGACCTCGATCACTCGACGAAAGCGTCCGCGTCGTCATCTCCCGGTCATCGCGGATTCGACGTCCATGCGGGAAGGCGTCTCTTCTTGGAGATCTGTTGGGAAGGGCGTTTGGGAAGGGGGTGAGTGTATATAGCGCCACTTATAAGCACATGACATTATACATATACATTAGTAATTTCATATCCATAGAGCGGTGTAAACACATTCTGGGTACTGTAGCATGGGTTCTTGGATCCTCTGCAACACAGAGGAAGGCATCAACAAAATAATTTGGTTCTTTCTCGCTTACTAGCCATCCCTTTTTTTTTTTTGACTTTGGAGCTGTTCGAGGTCTGTGACCGCCAGCTTGGCGTGCACTGGGAATTCTAGGTAGAAACGGCGTCAGCTCAGAAGACCTTCCGGTGGTGATAGTCCGGTGCCAGTGCCTGCTCCTTCTGTTCTCTGTCATCCTCCGTCAGCCATCGGAAGTAGGCGAGGTCGTCCGGGTTCCAAGGTTGAAGGTCCTGAGGGCGTTGTGCCAGAAGAAGGGCACTAACAAAACTATCTGCAAGGGCTGCATTCAGCCTTTCCGGATATTCTTTCGCTAAAGATGTCTTGAATGTGCCATCTGCATTGCGGCCTTGAAGAGTGATCAGCTGGGCCCAGTTGGGCGGTCGCATAAACTTTTGCAAGGAGCGGTCAAAGGCAGGCATAAAGCCGACCAAGAGGTGCGTCGGCTTGCTAGATGCGGAGCCAAAAAAGGCCTGTCTGATCAGGTGTCGCTTGACCTTCTGGTGCCGATAGGCATATTGGAACCAAGGGAGGCGCCACACCGTGGGTCGGGTGCTGTCCTCCGGTTCCCTTGGGTGCTCCAGTACAAATGGGACACTGAATGCAATTGCTGTGTAAACTAGCCGGATTGCTGTGAACAAGAGGAAGTTAGCCACTCGAAGTTGGGCTATTTCGGGACTCGTAAGTCCGGAAAGTGCTAGTGCCTGGAATCCGTTGCGCAGTGGTCGCACGGGTCCTTGCAAGTACCTGGCTTGAGACCATGTCTCGCATGGCGGTGCCAGTAGCAGTCCTCGAACAAGGCCGTTGCGGCACCATTGCACTATCCGGTGGATGAGCTCTTCGTTCCCAACGTCATGCCGGGTGGAAATGGCGAGGTCCAAGGTTAGGACATGCCCCTTTACTCCATGTTCAGCCATTATCCTCTTGATGTTCTCTGAAAAATCACCTTCGCGGTGCCGCCCAGAAAACACATAAATGAACAAAGGCTCATGCTGACTTTGAGGTGGCGGATTAACCGACCATTGGGCTCTAAAGCAGTGGTGGTGCTGCAATCGAATGGCAAGTTGGACAGATACATCAAAGGTGTCCCATTGCTGTCGCAGGCACTGCCATCTCTTGGTATCGAAGCCTGTGGCAGGACAAAGCGCCTGTCTGGGCACACGGATATCTCTCAAGAGATGGATGCGCTGGCTCGGGTCAAGGTGAGCCTCTGGTGCCTGAACTGCCCACATGTTTGTGGCCTCATGCAACGTGAGAAAGGCCGCAACACTGTCTAAATGAGGCAGCTTATGGCGAGTAGCCAGGTGCTCAAACAAGCCTTGGACGATATGTGGGGAGTATTCCCGTTGATGAAGGACTGACAAAAGAATGTCAGGTTCCTGCCTAGCGGCTGCTTGCATGGTCATCTCGAGCCATTGCGAATGCTCCTCGACAGCCTCTGGCATTCTGGTCCCTCCCCTTTGTCGCTCCCATGGCCATGGGATGAGAGGCCCCGGCTTACGCATCACAGGTCGCCGATGATGCAGGATCCTTTCACGCTTTCGGTGTTGTTGCCTTACCTGCTGCTCTTGGGCACGTACATCGTCAAGCTCTTCAGTTGTGAGCCGAGGGTAGCTCAACATCAAACGTGCCAAGCAACCAGTGCGGACATATTTCAAATGCATGACCAATGAGGCTCGATCGTGGTAGCATTTGAGGCAGGCACGACACGTGGAACCGACTGCGTAAAATTGTGCCACATTGTGTTGCTCATGTCGCTTAAATTTGTGGGCACAAAGGGCTGCAAAGGTGTCGAAACAAGCTGTGCATTGGTCACAAATGTACCAGCCGGCCAATCTGTCTGGTGCCCTCTGGGCTATTAGGGATAATCCTGCAATCTCCTGAACTTGTTGCATACGATGTTCAAACAATCGAAAATCATGCCATAGGCCTTGGTATTGTTGGCTGAGTTTTTGCACTCGCTTTGTCAGCTTCAGGAAGTAGCCTGGTTGTTGCAGGCTAAGTGTTGCCCAGTGAAAAGCATGATCGGTTGTGGGGCTGAGTGGCACTTCAGTAGCAGGTGCATACTCTACAAGCCTCTGCATGTCAAAGGCCAGTAAGGCCAACCAGCCATTGTGGGGACTCTGCGACTGGAGTAGGGCCCACAGTTCATGCATATCAGTTTGGACAATCCTGTCGAACAAGGCTGCTCGCTGTTTGGCCAGAACCAAAGCCGGAAAAGTTTGGGCACTTGCAGTCAAAAGGTCAAGATGCATGACATGTGCTTCCAAGCGCAAGTGTGGAACAAGTCTGGCATAGAGTCGCATGATCTTGGACTGCCATTGCATGGCGGTAGCAACATGCATCAACTGCCAGGCTCCAGCCCCGAATGTCAAACGGCTCATAATCAGTGCTTGAAAAAGCTGACTTCTGGTTCGGCAAGGCATGTGGGGCGAACGAAAAAATTCCTGATGATAGCAATTTGAGCGCTGGTTTGATGGCAATGAATCGTCTGCGGACATCGCAGGCTGGGTGGCCTTTCATATCTTGGAGGGAGCCAAGATAGAGGTAATCGGGCACAATGCTAAGGCGTTGACTAGCTGCAACGGCCTGACATGTAAAATCAAGCCCTGGGTCGTCAGGGTTGGAGTGCAGGATCTGCGTCCAAAGTGCTTGTGAGTCAGTGCCGCGCAGGCAGAGGACCACTGAGGTCTTATTGCGATTCAAGTTCAGGCTAAGACCATATGACGCGGCGCAATCATACACAATGGCTGCAGCGACAGGAACCTGATCGAGAAGCTTCTGCGGAGTCTCCTCGGTCATTAAGATAACTTGGTCATCGACCCAAGCAGCTTGCGCAATGTCCAGATGGACGTTTTCGTCCGGTTCGAAACGTGCATTTGGCAACCATTGGAGTGGGACCGTCAGGCGAATGCCATGGTGGTTGAGACGTTGCTGCAAGTCCTTCATGTAACGGCCCATTATGAAACCAAAGAGGAGATCGGCAATGCTGTCTCCCGGTCTGGTTCCGGTGCTCGTGGAGGTCAAGGTGGCATCATTTTGTCGCATGCGAAACCAAGTGCCTGCAAACAGAGAACGGACCTGGGCTTGGTGAAAGCCGGAGGTATGGGCAAGTTCCAGTGCAGCGGGCTCTTCAACGTGTTGAAGAAACTCGGTGAACAATTCAGGTGACCAATTATTCTGCGCAAAAACATGAATTAGCGCTGAATCACTCGGGTGGCTATCAGTCACGAGATGCCGGCATGCACGATAGAAAGCTTGAGCCACATCGATGAAAAGAGCGGCGCAACTGGCATGGCACTGTCTAGCACGCTGTGCATACAGCTGGACAAGCAAGTGGAGATGGTCCACTCCAATACGGGGAATCCCTCCTGCTTGAGTACTAAAGCGAAAAATCTGGTATGTGGGCAAAAGACGCTGACGCAGCAGGCCGTGGGAAATCTTGGCCTGAAAATTGGAAAGCATAATGCTACGAAACTTGTCGGCCTCAAAAGCTGCATGACCAGTCTTAGGAACTGAACAAATGTCACCTCCACGCCAACTCATCGGTTCTGCACAACGAAGAGCTGCCTTGGTCAACAGCGGCCACAAAATTCGGGAAAAAAAGGGTTGGCTCAAGCTTGTAAATCTCCGCAGCTAGGCCATCAGGCCCTGGGCATTTACCTTTCTTGGCTCGATGGATATATGCTTCGATGGCTTCACGAGTCGGCAGTGCTTGAAGATCAAAAGAAAAAGCTCCGGATGGATACGAAGGATGCTCAAGAGAGGCAATCTGCTGCAATTGCGGAACTGTGACACGAATACCCCCCTCAGCTTGACCAAAATGGTCTCTCCAACGCTCCGCTGCGGCTTCAAGTGAGTCAACGAAAACACCATCTAGATCTCGAACTGCAGGTACAGGTTGGAACGCCTGTCTGCCTTTACGGAAAGTCTGGCCCATCAAAGGCCGCAGGGTACGAAAAAGCTTGCCTACATTGTGATGATGTGCGGCATCTAAGGCTTCTTGTGCTTGCTGCGCGGCTGTCTCGATTCTATCCATTCGACTGGCCTGCCTGGCCCATGGATGCATCATGCGACGGCGAGTGAGAGCCCATATCAACATGAGTCGGCACCTTGACAAAAGGTCTCGTCTCTGCTGTTGCACTCGGTCGTAGGAAGGAAAAAGGTCGAATGGCCTCTTCCGGAGACGTACGAGGCGCTGCCAAGCAAGAAACCAGATCTGCTTAAAGAAAACGCTACTCATCTTTTCAACATTGGAGGCAAATTTTCGCAAGTATTGGCGCGTTTGGACTAAGGCCCATGTGTGCTCGGACATGTATCTCTGTCGGGGCTGGGTCTTATCAACTCGAAATGCTTCAGTAGCCCCTGTCTGAACCCAACTTGTCAACATGTTGGCATGCACACCTACCGGCATAGCCCATGGGATGGGTGGCATGTTCCGGACATGTTGGAGAAATCTAGCCTGACGGTCACTGTCACGCATGTGCCGAGGGTCTAGCCTCGGTATGGCACCATGGAGGCCTTTGACTTTGGCAGAGCTAAATTCAACAGCAACGCAAGCTGGAAAATGGTCCTCCTGACTGATGATGAGGTCAACCTCAGTGGAGACCCATGATCGGACTTTGAAGGTCTTCCATTGCAACGGCAGCATAACAAAGTCAAGGCGACTGCGGGTGCCTTGGCTGGACTGCCATGTGTACGAAGGGCCTTCATGACAGTCATGTGTAGACGGGATCCACAGCGAGTGACGCAGGGCAAACCAATGCA